TGACCATAAAAATTATTCAATTTTTTCTAAATTAAAACTGCATGTTCGATCTTCACATATTGTTGTGCTACTATAAAATTACAGTACAATGTTATTATTATCAAATAAAAACTCGGCTTTCAATTAGCACAATGTTATTTTTATTTGAATAATAAAGTAAACAACTTTAAGACCTACTTAAAGATCTTTATACTCTAGCATTGAATTTAGGAAGATAAGCTGCAATGGTACAAAATATGTTGGCTCAATGGATTAATATACCTTGCTAGAATAATGCCAGTAGAAGTCCATTACAGACTCTTGCAGCCTTAGCAAGTAGTCAACAGTGCAGTTGATTAGATTAACACTAGTTGTATGACCAGGTTGTGTGCGAAGATAATTTTGGAATTCTGTAAAAGTACCAGAATTGATGAAATAGAAGATGTATATCACATTTACTATATACCCAAGTTATGGCCCTCGCAGGTCAGTTGCAAGAATCGGAACAGTGAACACGTGAATTCTGCATCGTTAAGATTTTGATTATCACCCGATGCTAACTCTGCGCCCATTCCTAGTCCTTCAGCCTAAAATCAAAAATTTTGCTTGTCATTTGACCAGAACTAGAAGTTTTCCAACCTTGATTTGTCGCTCAAACATTTCCAAATTGAGTACTGAGCACTTATTCATCAGTCCAGCCATTGATGTAAAGAAACGAACATCTTTCTTTAGTTGTAGATATTCGATCAGTAACTAAAAATGACAAAAATATTTTAAGGCAAGCTCTCACAAAACTCTATTTTATTGTGTGACGAAAAGTTTTCTTGCTACAAACCCGCTGTATGTCCACGTTTCCTCCAGAGAGCAGGTGAATGCCAAGTTCTAGGGTTTTTCCGACCATTTCATTGGGTTCACCGTTACTTGCCGAGAGGTACATCAAGCACATAATGGCAGCCCCGCGATCAGCAAGGACTCCTTGTTCGGCACGCAGGGTTTGTGACTGCTCCTCTTTTTGCTAAAAAAAATATAGTATAATGCAGGATTTCAGAGTGTTAGGACATGACCGAGACACTTTTGTAGAATAAATTTTTTTAAAAATCGAACAGGTATGA